TATTATACTCACTGTACTGAAATATTTTCCCCACAAAACAATGGATTGTAGACATCTCTCCTTGTTAAGACCTGTCTATGTTTCATTATTTTTAACTGCTCCACTGTATGAACATTTATGATTTTTGATTTTTAAGGGAAGCAATGCATGCATATGGTAAGAAAATAAAAATAAAGCAGGACAGAATGAAGAACAATGACAAAGTAGAAGTCCCTGTCTTCTCTCCCCATCCTTCCCCAGAGGAACTACTGTTAACCATTTATTTTTGTTTTTTAGTAATAGACTTGATTTTTAGAACAGTTTTAGATTTACAGAAGAACTGAGCAGATGGTACAGAGGTCCCACATACCTCCCCCACCGCCATAGTTTCCTCTATTATTAACATCTTGTGTTAGTGTGGTACATTTATCACAATTAATGCACCAACACTGATATACTTACTATTAACTAAGTCCGTAGTTTACAGTAAGTTCATTCTTGCTGTTGTTCGGTTCTGTGGGCTTTGACAAATGTGTCACTTTGTGTATCTGCCGTCACAGGATCATGAAGACTTGTCCCACCACCCCGAAGATCCCCTGCCACCGTCAAGTGGTTGTCACCATTATTGTAAATAATGCCCTTAGACCCTCTCTGTCGGCTCACTAACCCGAGACGGCAGGCATTGGTCATCCTTTCCCACCTCCTGGGCTTTGTCAGTTATGTTGCCATGTCATTCACTCATGCAATCATTAGTTCCTGAGGTCCTGCTGTGTGCCAGGCGACCGTCCAGGTGCTGGAGCCACGGGGTGAGGAGAACAGAGAGCTCCCCGCCTCAGAGAGCCTCCATGGTGCTGGAGGGGGTGGACGGCAAGTCAGAACAGTATAAAGAATTTTAGATGGCGATGTGGGCTGTAGAGACAGTCGAGCAGGGAAGGGGACACAGTGTCTGTGTATACATGTCTGTGTGTGTGTCTATGTGTGAGCGTGTCTGTGTGTGCCTGTGTGCCTGTGCAAGTGTGTGTGTGTGTATCTGTATATCTCTGTGTCTGTGTGTCTGTCTGTGTCTATATGTGTGTATCTGTGAGTGAGTGCTGTGTGTGTATCTGTACATGTGACTGTGTGTCTGTCTGTGCGAGTGTGTGTGTGTGTCTGTGTGCCTGTGGAGAGTGGGCTGAGGTCTTAAACAGAGTGGTGGGGGAAGAGATCCCTGAGAAGGTGGTATCTGAACACCCAGTGGAGTGAGGCGAGGACATGAACCTTGTGATGATCTAGGGGGAGCTCCTAGGCAGAGAGCACAGCAGGTGCAAAGGCCCTGAGGAAGCGGGGAGAGTGGCTTTGAGGAAGGAAGGGGTCGGCCTTGCAGGCACCACAGGCTTCCCCCCTGACCCGGGCTGTTCTCAGAGAGATGGGAAGGCTCTGTGGATTGCAAGCCAAGGAGTGACATCATCTTACTCCCATTTAAAAATTTTCGGTGTTAACATACATTCTATTCTGTAAATAAAATGATCTTCAAGGCGTTTTCTATAGAATGAGTCTAACAATTAATGACCACTGAACAGAATTTATAATAAGATTGAGTAAATATTGTAGAAAACAAAAGATACTGCTTTTTGTGTCTCTGGGTCCCTTTCTCGCCTCCTCCACCCTTATTCCCATCTTTCCTCCCACTGTCCTGCGTAGCCACTTGGAATGGATCCAGGGCTCCCTCCTCCCCCACGGTGGCTCAGAGCTAGCGAGTGCATTTCCGGCCCACTAGTCCCTGGGCCATTTTGCATGTAGCCCTTTGCAGCTGGACTCACTGACTGATGCAGATCAGTTTTCCCTCGGGTGGCGAAGAGAGGAGCCGGCTCTGGGCTGCTCCCAGGGGGCCTCCTGTGCAGCAGTCCCATGAGGAGTCAACACAGTCAAGAACTGAGCCCCTGGTGAGCGCCCCACGAAGGTTGCTACGTTGGACCTCCAGTTCCCGTGGGCAGTGTAGGGACCGCCTGCAGGGAGGGAGCAGCCCTGGGCCCTATGCCCTGCTGCCCTGGCTCTCAAACGCTTCCTGATCCTTCTGATGGCCCAGTCACCCAACTTGGGCCAGTCACCCATCCTCTCCCAGATGGGCGACCAGGCAAGATGCCAGGTCTGGTGCAAGGTTTAGAATGAGTCATCTCCCCTCCTCCCAGGAGGTCATGAGACCGGAGGACAGGACTCCCAGGTTCCAAGGACCCACACAGCACACGGGGGAGATGTGGTCTGGGAACCGGATGTTTAGCTGGTGAAGACCTTTCCAGCAATGGAATAAGCCTGCTGAATTTCCTCCTCTGGCCTCCTCTTTACCCACTCACCCCTGCTATCCAATATGCCTGTCTTTTTTGTCCTTTCTCCTGTGTCCAAAAGCCTGGCACGCCTCCACCCAGTAAGCTGAAGAGGGGAGTGTGGGTGGCTGGCCCATCTCTAAAAGGAACCATATGTGCTCAGATGCTTATGCAGAAGTGGTGTGGAATCACCAAAAGACCCTGGGTCCCCGTAACCACCACACATTCTCATCCCAGCTTTGCCATTTGCAAAGCTGTGTGACTTCATCTAGGTTGCTGAACCTCTCTGATCTCATTTTTCTCATCAGTAAAATGAGCAACAATAATAATACCTATCTGTCATGAGAATCAAAACCATGTGAGAAGACTCAGTAAACTTTAAAAGCCCATACACTGTGAATAACCTGAAACTGGACAGAGCATCAGTGAGTCCCAGGCCCCGCGGGGGAGAGGAGGATGTGAGAGATAAGAGTTAGGAGTGGCGGCTGGTCTGGAGCCCTTTCCTCAGTGAGAGACTCTGGACCATGGCAGGACTGCGCCAGCCTGGGGCACTCAGGACTTGGTTGGAGGGGGGGCGCTGGGGAGAGGAGGCTCAGAGGGCATGCACAGTGGGTAGACAGGCTGAGACCTTAGGGTCCCTAAGGCAGAGCTGTGGGCATCTCGAGCCACCCCACCCCCCGGGGCCTCAATAGACACCTATTTTGGCTGTTTCTCTGCTCTCGTGGTGCAGTCCACCCCCTCTCCTGGAGGGGTGTCGGGTTAGGGAGTCAGGGGTCCCACTGTGGGCGTGCTCCTGCTGCAGGAGGCTGAAGAGCTGTGGGTGGAAACTGACAGCTCCCTTCCCCCTCTTGATGTGGGTGCTGCAGGGGAGGGCACTCCCCTCCACTGGATGGTGCTCCTCCCCCCAATAGTGGACCGTCCTCCTCCCCCAAACAGTGGGTGACCCTCCTCCCCCCAACACTGGACCATGCTCCTCCCCTTGCCCTGGACCGCCTTCCTCCCCCCGCACTGGATGGCCCACCAGTGCCCGTTAGGCTCTGCAGCGGTGGGCAGGGAGATGGACAGCCGCGGCGTGGGCACAGAGAGTCACTATTACACGTCGTTATTCCCATAATCGTCTATTACTAACAGGTCAATGAACAAGCCCCTAAGAAACTGTGGGCCTGGGGGAGCCGACCAAGACGGGGCAGCATTAAGGCCTCGGAGAGCCACCGTCCAGTGCCTGGCCTGGTCTCAGCCCCCGTCTTCCTCTAAAGGCAAGAGAAGGTGGGGGAGGAAGGCCATTACTGAGCCTCCTGGAGTTGCCCGCCCTGTCCTGGGCCTTTCACGATATTCTAACTTTGCTCACCACTCCTGAGAGGAGAACAGATTCCTTCCCGTTTGACGGATGAGGAAATTGAGGGAGGACAAGCAGGTGGGCAGGACGCAGCAATCAGGAGGCAAGAGCTGAGGTTCAGATCTCACTGGACTCTCGCAGAAAAGGGAGGGAAGCCGCCTCTCTCCCCAGCCCTCAGCCCAGTGTCCAGGGAGAAGTCCTTCTCCCAGGAGGGGAGGGGAAGCCGCAGGCCTGGGGCGAACTCCACCAGGCCTGGCAGGCCACGGGTGTGAGAGCGGGCCCCTCCAAGTGTGTGCCACCAAGAGGACTGCAGGAGTGACAGCCCAGATCGCCGTGGGCCCTCCTCACCAGGGGAGGCTGAGTGACCTCAAGGCTCCTCTCTCCTCAGCTCCCACTGGCTTCTGTCTACAGCTCCCTGGGGGAGAAGGAGGGATGGGTGGTCCCAGCAGAGGCAGCTGTGGGCAGGCTCTCCTGCGCCCTGCAGGGAGACATGTACTCACATCCATTGGAGGAAGCCAACACAGGCTTGATTCCTCCCTTCCCTCCAAACCCCAGGATCTTCCTCATTTTTCTGATTGCTCCATGCCAAGGGGGAGCTGGCCACGCTAGGAGAAGCGGCAGAGGCTAGGGCGCCAGGACTCCTGGGCCTGGGAAGCATCCAGCAGCTGTCTGACACCCACATGCAAGTCCCAACCGGTGCCACTGCGCGGCCGCAGCCGAACAAGCCTTCCCGCCCCTCCAGGCGGCGACCCCTCTCATCTAGGAGACGCTCCTTCCCACTTCCTCCGCCGCTATCTTCCCCCCGGGTCCAAGGCCTAGAAGAGCACTGGTTCCCAGAAGCGGGAGACGAGAGGCTGGAGGCTTGGGCTGCTGGGTGGGCAGCGTCCCCTCGGTACCAGCCCTCCCCGCCCGGCGCCCAGCGCCTCCAGTGTGCGCGGGGCCCTGCCCGGGCGGGTGCGCGGCGCCGAGGGGAGGGGCGGGGAG